CATGGTAGTAAAAACACATTTCCTTTCAAGCCTCCAACAGAGGCTTTTTTTTTTTTCTTAGTGATTACCAGGCACTTTGTAGAGATTTTAGAGGCGTTTTGACTCTTCTCTACTCAGAAGGCTTATATATTAGTTTTATAATAGTAAAAAGTAAAGGCAACTTTTTGATTGTTTGCTTTCTGGAGATTCCTCCTCATCTTCAGGATAAAGCTTCTATCCTTTTTCCAATCTATTCAGAGTTAAAAAAAAAAATGACTACCTGAAATCAAGAATTTTAAAATTCTTGGTAACTCCAGCCAATTTTTTTTTTTTTATTTCTTTAAGAAATTTCTTAAAGAAATCCACCAGTGAAAGCAAAGGTTCATTTGTGCTACTGAGGCTTTTTGTTTTTGTATTAAACCACGGCAGGTTTACTTTAAAAGTTCCCCTTTTGCTAAAAAATAATAAATGCTAATTTTTTGGAGGTAGTTCATTCGGAACTGCAAGCAGACAGCTGCTAAGGCTGTCAGGACTTGTTGTTTCTCATTCACAAAGGACTATGAATGAGTGACGCGGCCAGGTGGGAGGAGCCCAAAACCACCAATTTTTTAAAAAAAACTTTTGACAGCTGGTGGGAGGAGAAGATTCCCCACTAGCTGCCAAAGCGGGAGAGCGGGGGCTGGTCTATTCATAACATGCCACACCCTGAATATGGGTGTAATATGTTGTGAAAGGTGAACTTAACCTTTAAACAATTAACAGTAAGCATTATGTCTGTTGTATGCATGTATGATGCTAATTTTTTTTTTTTTTTGCTGGCTTGCTTCTGTTAATAAAATATTTGTGAATACATTGCTACAGAAGCCAATCAAATTACAGCAAATAGCATTTTTAAGTGTAATCGCTATTAGTTTTGGAAAAAAATATTTTTGTTCACAAGGTACCTTTTTAAGGTATATTAGGCTAAGCAGGTTGACTTTCCCTTGCCCATTTACTGGCTATGAGCTGCTGCAGATTGACAGCCACACTCCCTCTGGAAGCCAGAGTTGCGGTCACATATCTCAGGAGGGTTGAGCAGGGTGCGTGGCAGGTAAATTGACTATGGAAATACAGAAATACCGTGCATCAATCACGCATCCTGTATCTCCAAGGAGTAAAGTCTAGTACACTGTGAGAAAATCGGAAGAACGATCTCTCCAATTCATCACGAAGGTGCGTATCATGATGTAAACAACAACAGCATTAACTTGTACAAAATGTCTTGACAGACAGAGGCAAACATAGCTACATACTAGTGTAGTAGAAAAGGAAGTGTAGTGCTTCTGATCATGCATGTACTTTTCTTATAGATTATTTCAGTACGATTACTGTACACAAACACAAATCGGACATTATGTTCAATTATACATCCGGCTCCTATGCCACCTTTCTTACCCTTCTCCTCCTAACCGCGGGGGACATCTCCCCGAACCCTGGTCCTCCTCCACCTCACTCACCCACAAGGCACCCACCTTCTTCCACGAAGTGCCGCATCCCCCTCAACCTAATAACGGTCCCCCTGCTCCCCAAAACCACCCCTCCATTTTCGTGTGCACTCCTGAACGCCCGCTCGGTTTGCCACAAACGTACCGCCATCCACGACCACTGTCTCCCGCTACCTCAACCTCCTGGCGATCACCGAAACCTGGATCCAAACCACCGACTCTACCTCCCCTGCAGCACTCTCCTATGGAGGTCTCACCTGGACCCACTCACCCAGACCCAGTGGTCGGAAAGGTGGTGGGGTTGGTATGCTCCTGTCACTGCAGAGCACCTTCCAAGTCCTCCCTAACCCTCCCTCCCTATCCTCCTCCTCCTTTGAGGCCCACTGCATCAGACTACTCTCTCCAATCCCCCTGAGGATCGCAGTAATCTATCGGCCCCCTGGACCAGTTTCCTGCTTCCTTGATGACTTCTCCGCCTGGTTAACCTTCTTTCTCTCCTCCGAACTGCCCACCCTCATCCTTGGAGACTTCAACATCCCGACTAACAGCAATAGCCCGGCCACATCCCCCAACTCCTCCACCTAACCTCTTCTTTTGCACTCGCACAGTGCATACAGCCCTCCACCCACTCTGACGGGAACACCCTGGACCTTGTTTTCTCATCTCTGCACCCCCCACAACCTTACAAACACCCCTTTTCCTCTCTCTGACCACAAACCTCATTACCTTCTCCATCTCCTCATCCTCATACACCTACCCCTCCAAACGTCAAACCATCACCAACCGAAACCTCCGCAACCTGAGCCCTGCCCCCTTCCTCTCTGCAGCTGACCAACTCTACGACAGTATCCTTCCCTTGTCCTGCCCTGACCTGGCCACTACTGTCTATAACAAATCGCTGTCAGCCGCTCTGGACTCCCTAGCACCCCTAACCACACGAAACATTAGACCTCGACCACTTCAACCCTGGCAGACCGACCGTACCAAAAACCTCAAGCGACTCTGTCGCGCGATAGAGTGACTATGGAGCAAAACCAGATCCCAACAAGCGTTCTCCCGATATAAATCCGCCTTCCTCACCTACACTTCCTCCCTCCAGCTCTCGCCGGCTCTTCTCCACCTTCAACTCTTTGCTCTCTCTGCCCCCACCTTCACCCAGTACCTCACTCACCGCCCACGAGATTGCTAACCACTACCAAAGCAAGATCAACGCAATTCGCAGGGGCATCACCACTGCTCAGACTTCCGCCCCACCTAGCATCCTTCACAGGAAAACCCCCCCATCACGCCTCTCCTTCGTCCTCACCACTGTCCAGACCTCTACCCCGCCCAACATTCCCCACACTCAAACCCCCTCAACACTCCACTCCTTTGACCCTGCTACCACTGAAGAGGTCACTAAGGTCTTCTCTGAAGCTCGCCTTACCACCTGCCCCCTTGACCCTGTCCCCACACAACTACTACGATCACCCTCCTCCTCCATCCTACGCTCCCTCACTCACATCTTCAAATCTCTCCCTCTCTACTGGCACATTCTCCTTCCCTCTGAAGCATGCGCATATCACTCCCATACTTAAAAAACCCTCCCTGGATCCCACCGACCTAAACAACCTTAGACCCATCTCCCTGCTGCCATTCTCATCCAAACTCCTTGAGCGCTTACCCTATAATCGCCTAAGCTCCCACCTCACTGACAACAACCTCCTTGATCCCCTACAATCTGGCTTGCGTCCCCTACATTCCACCGAAACCGCCCTACTCAAACTCACCAACGACCTACTAACCGCTAAAGCCAAAGGCCACTACTCAGTGCTATTACTCCTCGACCTCTCCGCAGCTTTCGACACGGTCGACCACCCCCTCCTCCTCAAAAAACTATTTTTTTTTTGCCTCAGAGACCCCGCTCTCTCCTGGCTCTCTTCCTATCTATCACAACGCTCCTTCAGCGTCACCTATAACGTTGCCACCTCCCCCTCACTCCCCCTCTCTGTTGGGGTCTCCCCAAGGTTCTGTCCTCGGGCCCCTTCTCTTCTCCATCTACAGCTCCTCCCTTGGTCAACTGATACACTCCCACGGCTTCAATTACCACCTCTATGCAATGAAACTCAAATCTATCTCTCCACCCCACGCCTCACCCCTTCAGTCTCCGCCCGAATCACTAGCCTTCTGAACGACATATCAGACTGGATGTCACTCCACTTCCTCAAACTAAACCTTGCTAAAACCGAGCTCCTAGTTTTCCCCCCAGCCCGCACCCCCCCCCCCCCCCCCCGACCTCTCCATCACGACTAACAACGCCAACATCAGTCCCACCCCACAAGCCAAAGTACCAGGTGTCATTCTAGACTCCAATCTGTCTTTCCAGCCCCAGATCCAATCGTTGACAAATTCATGCAGACTCCACCTCCGCAACATCTCCAAAATATGCACGTTCCTAATTCCTGAAACCACAAAGCAACTCATTCACTCCCTTATATCACGACTTCACTACTGCAACTCCCTCCTCACCGGCCTACCCCAACACAGGCTATCCCCGCTTCAGTCTATCCTGAATTCTGCGGCCAGAATCATCCACCTCACACCAACCGCTCCGTATCCGCCTCCCCCTCTGCCAATCCCTTAACTGGCTTCCAATTGCCCAAAGCATTAAATTCAAAATATTAACATTGACGTACAAAGCTATCCATATCACTGCCGCAAACTACATCACTGACCTGATGTCCATCTACCACCCAAAACGCACTCTCCGTTCCTCACAAGACCTCCTACTCTCCAGTTCCCTGGTCTCCTCCTCCCATGCCCGTCTCCAGGGCCTCCTCCATCCTCTGGAACTCACTACCCCAATCCATCAGACTGTCACCTTCCCTCCTCCCCTTTAGGCGCACCCTGAAAACCCATCTCTTCAGAGAAGCCTACCCAGCCCTCATCTAATTGCTGATCTCCTCCGCTCTTCCCACCACTCCATCCCCCACAGCTATTTCCTCCTGTACCACTCTCCCCTCCCTCCTAGATTGTAAACTCCAAGGAGCAGGGCCCTCAAACCCCTCGTGTATCGCATTGTATTGTTACTGTACTGTCTCGTGTACTGTCTCCCATTATAATGTACAGCGCTGAGCAAACTTTTGGCGCTATATCAATACTGTATAATAATAATAATTTCGTTAAAAATTTTCTAGCGTGTACCATCAGTTTTTGTCATCTGAAAGTCGGAATTGGCTGTCGAAAACACTATACTAACGGATAATCGGCCGATCGTTCCTCACACGGAAATGCTTGTAAGATTTTCTTATCGTGAGCTGAGATACAAAACTAGCCGTGCCAATACACATCTCGTTTTGAACTGAATTCTTGTGGTAAAATAGGCATGACTATGGAGGTCAACTACCAAAAGATGGAAGAGTTCAAAGTTGCAAATTTAACTTTATGGTAGTAAATCATTGACCTACATCCACACCCCACCATCCTGTACAATCCTTTAACATTTATATGTACAATAGAGATATAGAAAGACATACGGATTTGATAAAGTTTACTTACTGAATTTGCCTTTCCAGAAAATCTACTCCAATGGTCTTCTTGTAATCCTTTGTAAATATGCCTTTGCAGTATCTCTGGATCATGCTTGATTTTCCAACAGCACCATTCCCTACTACCACCACTTTAATGGCCACCTCCATATCTTCTTCCAACATTGTGCTGGTCTTGTGTGATCACAGCTGTTTATTCTTTAATAATGTTCAACCTGTAAAGTTTATACAGGACACGTTAAAAGCCACAATCTAGAGAAAAAAAAAACAACATGTTAAAGTGCACCTCTGCCCAGACTATGGACATTCAACTATTTACACATTCTAAAGAAGAAATAGTGTTGACTGCTTCAGCTCCACCCCATAGCAGAAATACTGCTACAGGGCGGCAGCTGTGAACGAAATCAAGTATATACACATCATTTTGCATTTCTGGGTAGAAGGCTCACGCCCTACCTGCACCGCCATTCGGGGCTGCGGCTGTCAATCACCAAGTCCCGGTCGACGATTGCTCGCTGGCACTTGGTGATTGGCGAGGATCTCCGATGGGGGAAGAGAACTGTTAGTAAACAAAACAGTTCTCCTCTCTGTCAGCTCCGGCACACTGCTTTGCATGGCTGTGCACAGCACAGCCATGCAAAGCAGTGGGCTTACAGTGAAACACAAACACAGATCATGTAAAACAGCACACAGTTAACCCTTTGATTGCCCCAGATGTTAACCCCTTCATGGCCAGTGCCATTAGTACAGTGTCCATGCTTTTTATTAGCACTGATCACTGTATTGGGGTCATTGGGGATGTCAGTGTCACCAAGTCAGTTACCCCCAGTGTCAGAATGCACTCCGCAGTCCCGCTATAAGCTGCTGATCGCCGCCATTACTAGTAAAAAAAAAAAACAAAAAACACACCACACAAAAAAAGCCCAGTATATATACCGCCATTTGTAAATGCTATAACTTTCACATAAACCAATTTACACGTATTGGGATTTTTTTTTAGCAAAGATATGTAACAGAATACATTTTGTCCTAAATTTATGAGGAAATTTGATTTACATTTTTTTTACTGGACATGTGCAAAAAATAAAGAACGTACAGGTGATAAAATACCACCGTAAGAAAGCTCTAATTGTGGGGAAAAAAAAAAGGCCGTAAATTTCATTTGGGTGCAGCGTTGCATGACCGCGCAGTTGTCAGTTACATTAACGCAGTGCCAAAACGCAAAAAATGGCTTGGTCAGGAAGGGGGGGGGGGGGGTAAATCCTCTGGAGGACAAGTGGTTAAAACAAACTAATCCTGACTTCTCTAATTGCTTGTAATGTTATTGCTTCTCAAAGATCCTCCAAAATAACAAATATTCTGAAGTTTGGTTTCAGTCGGTTTCCAACAGCTTAGAAATATGTGCTGGGTTTTCATTAGAAAGAGAACAACCTGATAAGATCTGCTTTCACAGAAAAAACAGTGCCTAGGTTATGCACTTTGAAAATAATTTTTTTTCGCAATGCCTGTAACTACAGTTTTAAAAGGCTTTTACTGATTGCACATAATATGTAAATACTACTTGGTGTGCATGATGCTGGCACAGGTTCACTTTAACCACTTCCCGTCCGGCCCATGTATATAAACAGCTGGACAGGGGCAGTGCAGGAGCGGGTTGGTGTTCATAAACGGCGCCCGCTATTTTAGTCTGTGCGCGCTCCCTGGGAGCGTGTGGCACCGCGATCTGGAACATCGATCGCTGTACGGGACCTCTGTGTGAGGTCCCCATCATGTGACCACTGATTGGCCAATCAGTGATCACATGAATAGTAGTAATGTGAAGCAAAAACAAAAAAGAAGCGCACCAACCTTGCACATTACCTTAGTAGACCAAATATTTATTGAATACAAAAGTATACTCACAAACAACAAAGTATTTCAAGCATGTCAGTTCTCAAAGGAACTATGGAATGGCAAGACCTGCGCGAGTCCCATCATAGGGGTGGACACTCAGGGAACAGCTCACGCGTTTCGAAGGATGTTCCTTCTTCATCAGAGCTTCTGACATCATTGCTTACTACGTGTGAAATCTGTGAATGATCACAGAGATCACATGGTGCAAGGCTATTCACAACAGCCTTGTATCATGTGACAAATCAAAGCTCGCACAGTATTTCTCAATGGCTGCAAGAATGCAGCCAGAGAGGAGAAATGATGATTGCATTTACAGCCTTTATGGGTGTAAAAGCAATCAGTGTAAAAGAAAAAAAAAAAAAAAAAAAAAAAAACCTTCAATCACCCCCCACAAGTATTATAGTGTCATCATGGTGACACTGTACTGCTAGGGTGACAGCATGTTAAAAAACAAAGCAAAAAAAAATATAAACAAAATAAAAATGTAAAAAAAAACTTTTGAAAAATTATAATTTTTGCTTATAAACTAATTTGGGTTATTTTTTTTACTAAAAAGAGAACTGAATACATTTTGGCCAAGATTTATGATGAAATATTTTCTTTGCAAAATTTTATAAGGAAAATACTTTTCAAATTTTTTGGACTTTTTCATTTATATAGCAAAAAAAAAAAAAAAAAAAAAAATCCCAGTGGTGAATAAAATACCACCAAAATAAAGTTTTATCTGTCTCAAAAAAAAAAAAAAAAAAAAAAAAAAAAAAATCATATGGGTACATTGTTTCATGACTGCACAATTGTCAAAGTGTGACAGTGCTGAAAGCTGAAAATTGGCCTGGACAGGAAGGGGGTAAAAGTGTCCGGACTGGACGTGGTTAAAGAACATCTGCACTACCATACATTTGTGGAGGGGGAAGGGGGGGGGGGGATCTGTTGGGTCAGGGAAGGTGGATCAAAAATTTCCCCTATATAAAAAAGACAAATAAAATCAGCCTTGTGTTCAGCAACACATACTGCTTGCTTTTTAAAAAATACACATTTGAGGATAAGTATCTGAATCCGACTTATGATCCACTAAACAGTGAAGCTCAGACTGTGAGAGATATAGCAGCACAAGGAGCCAGTTAGGTGCCAACAAGAAACATGCTGATAGGAGAGAGCAAAGTGACAGAAGGCAGGGCAAGGAATTTTTTCCCATTTTACGGTCCAGTCACAGGCTGGACCTCACCTGGAGCCATCAGGATTTTAGTTCAACAAACTTAATAAGTAGGCAGGCACTGTTTTTGTGGGGTTTTGTTAGGTTTTACAAATAAAGAAAATGAGCAGCACTCTAGTGACATCGGCAAATCTCTTGGTGCTAGCAGAGGCATCCCTGCTTTAGGTCTCACACTGCAGATATACAGCTAATTGGAGTTTTAGCAGTGGAGTGCCCATGCATGTTAACATACAAGGTAATGCATTGTGGGGTTTTTTTGGGGAGTAATTTACAGACAAAAAAAAAAAAAAAAAAAAAAAAAAAAAAAAATTTTTCAAGCTACTTAGACACAATTGACATTTCCAGATGTTCCCTCAACCAGGGGTCCCCAACGTCTGGGCCAAGGACCAGTACCAGTCCATGGCCTTTTAGAAACTGGGTTGCAGCACTGCACTACAGGAGGTAAGCAGAGTGGCTTGATGTTTATTTACAGCCACACGCTGAGAGAGAGCATGGTGGGGTGGTTGATTGCGCTCTGGCACGACCTAGTCAGTGCCTTACATCAATCTCCACCCCAATTCCCGGGGTCCTGCCCAGCGGCTTCCAACCCGTGGTGACTGCAATACACCTGCTGCAGGATAGGGGACAGAGGGATTTGAAATTACAGAGAGAAATGAGGAATCTATTGTTCAGCTCTACAGTGGCCATGTTTTCTCCTTAACAGGGCATCAGCAAGAATGGGACACTGCCATGGCCCCTACTCGGGTATTGTGTGTGCATAGTTCAGCTCCCATGTTAGCCCACACTGATGACCCAGGGTCCTGTTGTCACCATTGCTGTTTAAGCAGCATTCCAGTATTTGGGGAGCTACCACAACATACAATGTCCAAATTACAAATCGGCAAAATACTTGGAGCCCCAGTGCTCTGACTTCACTGGTTGCTTGCATGTTTTGAAATAAAATGCACAATAATTTCTAGAATCAACCCCCGCCTCCCCAGTACATGAAACAATTGTCTTCCATTAAACCAGTTCCTGGCACCAAAAAGGTTGGGGACCACTAATCTAAACCATAGCAAATCTTCACTATTTCAGGTCCACTTTAAGACTCCCATCACACCTATGCATTGTAGTTAGACACACTGCCAGCGCTCATTCTTACTATTAGCAGTGACCTGTTTTTCAGCACTGGATAAACACAACTGACCACTATGACACATAGAAAACGAGATGTTTTCTATGTACCCCATTCACACCTCAAAGCTGTGGAAAATTGCAGCATGTCTACATTTATCTGCAGAGCACTGGATGGCATGCATGCCACTACATAGCAGCACAATGCACTGAGTTGCTGTGCAGTCATACTTCAGAGTTAGGGAAAAAAAAAAAGAAGTAACCTGTGTGATGTGCTGAATTGTGCATCACCATGCTCCCTGCTGGAGCCAGTACTGTTACTAACCTGCACAGTAAAACACGGTTACCATGTGGGCTAATGTAAATGTAGCCTAAAACATGAAAATGGCACTGGCTCTGTGGCGAGTTAGGCTACGTTCACACCAGCGATTTAGGCTGGGGGGAATTTCAGCGACAGGAATATGACTCTTGCTGCTGGGAGCGGCTAAGTGTGGCCACAAACCCTGTTCGCTATATTGACCGGTCGGGCTCGTGGTCAAGCCGGCGACCTGAGCAGACATGAGTGACCGACGTCCCACACCAGCCTGCTGCAATTATCCAATTTTTTTTTAGGGGTCTTCCCCTATAGGTGACATGATCTACACCTCAGCATCTTGCGGCATGACCAGAGGTCACTTTGGGACCGGATCTAAGCAGGTCTCCACCTCCAAACCTTCCCAGTCTGTAAAAGGGAAAGGCGTCCTGGACCGTTCAAATATGGCTACCCAGACTGAGGCAGGGGATCCCGCAGCATTGGAATCCGATTAATCTACTGCCATCTTGGTTTGTCAGATGATGCTCACTGCTAAGACAGACCTTCTGCAGAGAGACATTGAGCTGATTAGAAGAGACATGGGCAAGTTTCAAGACCGGCTTACCCAGGCAGAGAGGCAGAGAGGCGCATTGGCGACTTGGAAGACTGTTTTGGAACACCGTGCCTCCCTGCATACCCTCAAGGTCAAAGTGAAATCCCTGGAATGCCGAGCAGAGGACATCGAAAACAGGAACCGCCGGAATAACCTATGGGTAGTCTGGCTGCTGAGGGGGGCTGAAGGCCAAGATCCTATGGTCCTCACGGAGCGCTTACTGTGCATGCTCCTCCATCAGGCGCCATTCTCTTCCTTCTTCACAGTGGAGCGGGTTAGAGATATGGTACTGCAGGAGATGCGAAAACTGGAGGTGCTGCATTATGAGAATGTTAAGCTTATGCTTTTTTCTGACTACTTGGTGGAAACTCAGAAGCTCCGGAGGACCTTCTACCACGTCAAGGCCCAACTTTGCACTCGAAGTTTAAAATACAGTATGCTATTCACCTCCGGGTGGAGGACAGCGAGTCCACTCGCCATTTTACCTCTCCTGAAGATGTCTCACAATGGCTTAATACCCTGCCCCATGCTCGCGGTTATGACCTGCATTGTATCGACCGGTCACACCTATTAGCAACTGTCCACACCTGTGGTAATTACTGGCTGCGCGGACGGCCGTAAATAGCTGCTGCTTCTGGCAACCTGGCAGTATAGTGAACAGGGAGTTTGCATGTTTTCCCTGTGCGGGTTTCCTCTGAGTACTCCGGTTTCCTCCCACCTTCCAAAGGCTGGTAGGTTACTTGGATCATGTCTAAACTGGCCCTAGTATGTATGAATGTGAGTTAGGGACCTTAGATTGGACATCCTTAAGGGTTAGGGACTGATGTGAATTTTTATATCTCTATCTATCTCTATATATATATATATATATATATATATATATATATATATATCTCAACAATAAAGTGTCGCACATCAGACTTTTTCATGGGACTTTAATAGTTGTTTATTTTTTATATAAGACATTGGTCTGTTGCGCTACACTTTGTTATTCATTTTGGTACAGGTTTGGCGAAGTCATCAACAGTGTTTTAGCAGCAACTATTTAGAGCACCATCATATTATTTTAAGGTGTGCTGCACTGATTGAATAGGGTTCGCACAGGCCTATATTGCTCATGTAAATATAGCCTTAAATGACCATTTACAATGACCAGGTTGTCATAGTGTATGTGGTAAGGAGGCCTTAACAACTGAACAGTTAATACATATATATGTAGTGCAATTGAGTATTTAGCTGCTGTTGAGCAGCTAAATACTCAATTGCACTACATATATATGTATTAACTGTTTTACCTGCCAAAGGACTTGTAATACTTTTAAACAAGAAAAGACACACTGCAGTCAGGTCTTTGAACGCTAGCAGCACAGCATGTTCAAAAACACAAGTCCAACCTGCTGAGTGAACATGAAGGAACAGTAAATCATGAAGCAGTAATCCCTTTGCTCACTATTCTCTGTATTACCATCATTTTCCCTGTCAGCATATGTTCTCCAGAAGAGCCTGAATAACTCTTAGGGCTCGTTCACACTTGACTTTTTTTCCCAACTCTTGCCAAAAGCCCCTATAGCGTTTGACAAGAGTTGGTCCGGCGTTTGCAGAGCGCTTTTAACGCTTCAAAAACGCTGTATGCGCGGTTTAGCGGCACTTGCCAATCCTTAAAAATGCCCCACAAACACCTATAATGAAGTTTGAATGGTGTTAACGCTCCGCATACACCTCGCAACCGCACCGCAAACGCCCAGCATTTGCGGAGCTGCACCATAGACTTGAGTAGGAGGCTTCAACTCCTCCTGACTCGACCAGTGGTGTCCGTTTTGCCAGGACACTAACTGAACGCTCGCTCCCGTGTGAACAGCACTATGTGCTGCAATGTACAGAATTTTCCGAGGCGTTTGTAAAGCGGTAAAAAAAACGCTTCCCAAATGCCTGTCTGCCGCTTGCTGACAAGGCTAGTGTGAACGTAGCCTTAATGCTAGAGAAGGCACACAGTAAACAGTGGAGCAAATGCATATGGCTTACAGTAGTGTCCAACTGATATAATTGAAAATATTAAGAAAGGATATGCAAACTGACTGTGGTTATAACATTTTAGCCTGAGTGTTAAAAGGGGTGTTAAA